ACCCATCCACAGAGAACTTGACCACAAAATCTGTTCATATCCGATGAGCACGAAAACCTGATGCCCAGACTTTCACCCAAAACAAAACTTTGAGCCGTTGATACATTCCTTTTTAGTGACATTGAAAAACTTCATTCAAACAAATATTTACAAGAGAAGGAGAAAGAAAACTGTCTTTTTGTGTGCGTACTGTCAACACTCTTGACTACTAAATGAATATAAGCGAAAGAAACAGCAAAATTTTTCACTATGAAAAAAAATCTATGGTCGACAATAAATTTTTCAGTGACGAGTTGACGCGATAAAGTGCTACAGACGCAATAGAGCACCATCAAATATTTACTCTCCGCATACGGGCTTCAAGACCTGAGTATGTTTCGGGAATGTAAATGGAATTGTTTGAGTGCGAGTTTTCGCTGGGGACTCTGCTCCAATCTATCGTGTTTGCTTGCAGATGTGGTTCTAAGATTGATTACACGGTAGAGACTATTAGTCCCTGAACAGTTTTCATCAGCCCCATTTTGTTAGTATGAGTTTTACGTGTCAAAATAAATGCCTTAGTGTGAGTTATCTGGACGGGTGTGGCTACCGGATTAAGAGTTCGGTTAAGACTCCCATTGTTTCAATGCTCGTTGAAGGTGAGAATGCCTAGTCGTGACTTTCAACTGTAAGACTGGATGTCGGCGTGTGTGCTATGCTGCTGGGTGTTATTCGATGGCTACACCGTTTAGCGACAACTACCAGTCTGAAAATGTCAACTCGCTGCAATAGTGTGTGAATCAACATCAACTTTGAGGATATGCATGTGGGTGTGGGTGTTTATGAATCTCTTTACTCTGGAACACCCACACCAACATCCCACGTTCGCACCCGCACCCTTGTTTGCTGACTTGAGTTTTGATCGTTAGAAATAGCGAATTAGATGGGCACAGAAGTTTCAAATAATCCGTCACGCATAACTAAAGAAAGTGATGCTGTGACATGAGCAAGCTACAGAATTCGTCTTTTTTTATCTTGTAAAATCTATTTCAAAATCCAAAGAGTCATAAATTGATTAAACATGAATTTTCTCACTAATACTCACACCCATACAGCTCTTCATGCTCCAAGCATCATTCTTGTTTCATTCAAAATTAAATGCCTTTAGATCCAAGATGAATTTGAAATGAAGTACCCTACAATATATAGATACTAATTTTAGTGATGAGCTCAGTCAGATGATGATCTCTGCCGTCGAAGGTCTTTCATCCTATTCATGACCTATTTCCTGTCAAATTTCGAATTTTTCTTGCTTATACCTCAAGTATTTGGAATAGTCCTTAATCTTTTATTACTGGTTCCATCTCCGCTACAGCTTCGTAATATTGACAATCAACAGAGAGCAAGAAAATCTTGATAATTCATGATTATAACGAGGATTAGTTAAATTATGAATAACCCACGCTGCGTACTCCGATCAATCTTCGTTTCTATTGTTTATATATTGTAGATATTCTCATAAATTTAGGCCAGGCGTCGAAAGACTTCTCATCAACATTGCCCGATTGTCTACTGTCAATGAGTCAATTAGTCGATCAAACAGACCTAAACGATGTAATATGGATCCGTCTGTTAAGTGAAGTTTTAGTTCACATGAATGACGCAGACACTCCAAATGCCAGAGACCAGTTTCTGACACTGTGGCAAAATTATGTTAACGACAAGCCTAGAGAGTTAGAAATTCTCGACAAATTTCGGAGAAACTTTGTGCCAAATGAAGTTTTACGATGGTGGACAATGGAATGTTATTTGCACGTATTAATAAATAAAAATATAGCAACTCTAAATTTTGATAATATTTACGCTTTGCGTTATATCCTTAAATGCATTTATACGAAGTTAAAAGAGGTACACAGAGAACTAAAACAGAGATCACATGAACTTCTTCACCTATATCGTGCACACATTCTCACTGTTCAAGAATTTGATTTGCTTAAAAATAAAGTTGGCCAGTTACATTATGTAGATCGCATATTGAGCACAACTTTGTACTTAGAGGTTGCTCTACATTACTTTGGTTATAACGCAAGTAAGGAGCAAAATGACAAAATTCAGGTCATGCTCGAAATTCTGGTTGATCCTAAATTTGAAACATTACCAATAGCTGTCATATCTTCCTTAAGTAATTATAAGTATGAAGAAGAAGTGGTTCTAATGTGGGGTACCATTTATAAAATAAATAGTTTCATTTATGATGAAAGAAAACAATTTTGGATTATCAATATCTCTTTAAGTGATGAACTTGGGGAAACCAAACTCAAGAATATGGTTGATTATATTAAACATGAAATCAAACAGGAAACCGACTTAGGTACATTAGCTGATTTATTTTTTAAAATGGGCGAATTCGAAAGATCTAAAATGTACTACCTGAAATTTAATAGTCAATTGTCAAAGGACGATATCAACAAAACGCGGGTGTTTCAAGGTCTCTATGAAATAGCTGATGTTCAAGGAAACTATAATATATCTATGGAAAACTACGGTGAGGCACATAAATGCTTTGATCAACAATTAAAATTATGTCAGAGTCTACCAAGTCATCATCCACAGTATGGCAAATGCTATGAAAACATTGCAAATCTATATGATATTGAAGGAGAAAAACGATCGGCATTGGTACATTATGAAAAGGCTTACGAAATCTATATAAAATCACTTCCAGCATACCATCCCGATACAACCAAAGTAGAACAAGCTATTGAAAGTTTGTCATTTCGTAAGTCTCTTCTAAAGTCTTAGTAATCAAAAAGACTTTGATTTAAATACAATTAAGTCCTCATATTAATGTGATGTCGATGAACTTTTCAGAGGAAAGAACATCTTCACAAAGACTTCAACAGTTGATGAACATTCAAACGTCTCAAGAGAACACAGAAGATTACAAAAATTTGGAAACATTTCTAATTGTTTGGTTGGATGCCACTGTCAACGCAACACAGGACAACGAAAAAACTTACAAAGCGCTACGTGAGAGTGTTAATTATCTCCAAACGTTCGAAGACTTACAAGAGGGTGAAAGTTTTATAAGACGTGTTAAACGCGATAAAATTGTTTTAATTACATCTGGTAGCTTCGGCAAAGATATTGTACCAAGGATTCACGATCTTATTCAAGTAAATTCTATTTACATTTATTGTGCCGATGAATCATATCACAAAGAGTGGTCAAAGCATTATTCGAAGGTAAGCTTTTATGAGAGGAGAGGAATTATCAAGTTACAGGTCTTTGACTAAAAATCGCTTATCATAATAAAGTTTTCTTCTTATAGGTACGGTCAGTGGCAACTAAACGACGACGTTTAATCGAAAAAATCACCGAAGATCAAAATATTCGGTATACGACTGAAGAGATAGTCCCGATGAGTATTCTAAATCGTACAGCAGTAGCTAAAGAAACAACCGCGAAGAATATTTCAAAGGAAATGGGTTCCATTCTCTGGTTTCAACTGCTAGTTGATGTGTTAGTACGAATGAAACATAGTAATGATGCCAAGATGGAATTGATAACGACGTGGAGTCAAAACTATACTACAAATTCGTCAGAATCAGATATTATTAAAGAGTTTCAAGACGAATATAAACAAGATAAAGTCGTGTGGTGGTATACTCGTAACTCATCACTATATCGCATACTAAACAAAGCGTTGAGAGAACAATCAATTGATACAATCTTTGCGTTCCGATTTTTTCTAACTGAATTATCTAAGCAAGTCTCTGATTTGTATCATATTTTTATGAATCAGTTAAAATCATCACACACACGAAGTAGCGAAAGCAGAACCATTCGTGTGTATCGTGGACAAGTTATTTCCAAAGAAGAGCTCGAACAGATGCAATGTAGTATAGGTGGGTTTATTTCAATCAATAGCTTTTTTTCGACAAGTCGTAGCAAAACCAAAGCACGAAGCTTCGCAATTAAATTGCGTGTCTCCGAAAATCTTCGCCGTATATTGTTTCGAATCAAAATAGACTGCCGCTTACCGACAAGACCTTTCGCGGATATCGAAGGTACTAGTTATTATCCACACGAACGAGAAATCTTGTTTATGCTTGGTTCAATATTTCGCATTGATCATATTGACTACGATGGAGAAAACCAACTATGGATAATAAACATGAGCTTGTGTAGTGAAGATGACTTCGAATTGAAAGAATTGTTTGCATATTTAAAGAAAGATATTGGCTACGAGATATCTATGACAACCTTGTGCAATGTTCTACTTCAAATGGGTGATTATGATAAAGCCGAACGAATTTTTCTACGAATGGATCATCAAGAAGGACTTATTAGTGTAGCGGAACTGAAAGGAAACTTTTATTTAGCAATAAAACATTACGACCGTTCGATTGAATATTACAAACAATCATTAGAACTTCGACATAAACTACTTCCTCAATCACATCCAGATATTGGTAAGAGTTACAGTGCGATTGCGATGGCATATGAATTTTCAAAACGCTATGTAAAAGCTGTTCATAATTATCAACGCGCTATTGAGCAGTATAAGCGTACATTAAGAAGCAATCATCCATTAATTATACAGACCAATAACAATTTGCTAAAACTCCAGCTCAAAACAGATTGACTTATCTCTTAACGAAGAAAACAATATCAATCTCCTAGCTCCCAGCTCTTGTTTCTCAGCAACCGATATTAGTCTTTTTTTCCAGGATAATTTGTGCTAAAAATGAATTCTGTTTTTGAAATTCAAAATAAAATGCAGAGTTCAATTTTCCCCGACGCGTTTCGTGTTAGTT